TCAGGCCGTTCCAGGGACTCGCTGTCTGGAAGGGAATGTCGCTTCCTCGTTAGTGCTGCTGGCGGTTCCTACCAAATCCCTTCGGACTTCGTCACCGCGACGTGATTGTTTTCTTGGGTTTTCGAGCTTTCTCAAGAGACTCGTCGCGCTGGACGTTGGCTGCTACACAGTGCGAGGTGCGGGGCGGGGGCTTCTGTTCTTCTGTTCCTTCAGCACGTTTCCTGTCACTCGGAAGTGGCCTTCCAAGTCTCCATCTGCCCCGTGCCCCGCGGAAGTGTCCCAGATTCATGATCGTGTAAGGTGAAGAGCGTGTTCTTTCTCTGTTCCCCCCTAAGTTTGGGAGACTCGCTTCCTGTTTTCAATGAGGGATTTAACTCCTGGTTCATTTCTGAGACGTGAGCGGCATCGGCTTGGTGTGTGGTCAGCGTGAGGAGGTGCTGGTAAAAAAGGGGTTTCGGGGTCCGGCGAGAGGAGCGGCGAGCTGGGCGAGGCCACAGAACAGGACGGTGGCGAGAGTGAGGCGTGCGACTTGAGCTCGCGCCCGGAAGTCAGACCACACCGGCTCGAAAGGGCTGGATGCGGGAAGATTTTAAAAGTCCAGGCAGAGACAACAGTTTGCAGAAATCAGGACAGAATAGGAGAAGGAAGCATTAATTACTGTTTTTTCTCGGTGCCCACAGCGAAATGTTTTTGATCAGTTTTATCGCTCAGCGCCTGGTCTGGTTGATTGTCGCCCGTATCCCACATTCACGTGTAACAGGAACTAGGATATGTCTAGTTCCCTTGTCTCCGTAGCACGTAGTTAGGCGCTTCAGGAATTTCGAAGTTAATCAGGAGGTTCTTAGTGTCTTGCGAGTGTGCGAACTTCAGTAACGAAGATAAAGGTTGCTTCTGTTACGTTAAAATAGGACGCGTCATGTCGAAAGTTTGAAGTGATGACAAGATGCATAATAAAAATGATACATTAATCCCCAGGGGAGATTATTGTCACGAGGCGGTTTCAAGTGTTTGTTATGTTCGTTTGCATCAAAATAATACCTTACATTTATATAATGCCTTAAGTTCAACAAAACATTTTTTAAGTTACACGCTCTGATGTTTACATGGGCATGTGAAGTTAGGGCAAATATGATTTCCCTTTTGTAGTTTATAAATTACATTTTTCTCTCCTCAATGTGTAATATGTATCAATTTGGCAGTATGTCGGAAGCGCCTTAGCAAGTTTGGTCCAGTAATTTCACTTGAAGGAAAAAGTCCTGAGAAAGTAAATCAATCAGCTGAAATATTACATCCAATGGTGGTGTATACATATGTGTGTACACACACACACACACACACACACAAATATAAATGGAAGTAACATGAATAACCTATGAGAGCAGTAAAATGGTTGAATGAATTATGCTATTTCCATAGGATACGATGTTATATAGTATTGTTTAGGTTTTTCAAACAAGCCACACTTAACGGTTGCCTTATGTGCTGGGACCGCATGTGAGGTTTCTCGATGCCCTCTGTTTTCCAGATTTTCGACAGTGAAGTGAATTACTTTCAGGATCACATGAGCAGCAGGAAACAGTAGGAGTTGGGAGGAGACGGCGCTGCTCCCTCTGCAGCGCCGGCCCCGCAGCCCCGGCCCCGCAGTCCGGTCCGCTCCCGCGAGG